TGTTTCTATTTTTGAATACTCTTCACAATGGTTATTACTATTTTATAAGTATTAATAAAAGAAGAGTTAAGTTTTCCGCTGCAAGTTTGTTATTGAGTTAAGTATTTTGAGTAGCCTTGCGTAATTACGCGGCATTAATATGCCTAAGTCTATCTCTACGGTATAATTATACGTATTATACTAGTATTTCCGTAGAGGGAGATTTGGGGGTGTTACAAAGTGGTATCAGTTTACCAGGTCTTAAAAAAGATTAAAATTGGGAAAAATAAAATGGTGGGTAGACATTAAGAGGACATATAGGATAGAGTTTCGCATTTGTGTGTGAAGGTCAAAAGCATTATTTTTAAATAAAAACTATTTCTTTATTTGGAAAGATAATTGAGAAAAGGATTCTCGTATACGACTCTCTGTCTAGGTAAGGCTCGCCTCGACGCTGTAGGTAACTTACCTGGGAGACGCGTGCTCGATCGTCTAATATCATGATTCAAGTACATTATTATTATTTTCAAAAATAAAAAGAATTAAAACTATTTGAAAGCTTGAGTCTGTGTGATTTCTTGTGCATTAAAGTTGGTGTTATAACACCTTGGTCTATGGTCAAGAGGTCCGAAATTTTTGAGCTATTGCCCACAGTTGTGTGATCTTGAGTTATACTTGGTTTATTATTAAGTTATGTATTGCTTTTGCAATTGGAATTTATGAGTTGAGTTGCTTATGTGAAATGGCATTGAATTGATTGATTTATATGTGTAAACAAGAAGATAAAAATGATTGATGATATGAGGAATAAATTCTTTGATTTATATTATTTTAAAGGTGATGGGAGGTTCGAAATTTTGGTGTCTTGATGCTCATAGTTGAGTCATCTTAAGTTATACTTGTTGAATGATACGTATTGCATCATGCAAATGGAATTCATTGAGTTTTGATTTGAATTGCTCATGTCAAATAGTATTCATGTGTTTATTGAAGTGATTTAATTATATAGATGTTGGATTAAATCAGAAAGAAACTCTTTAATATTTGTTACTTGAAAGGTGAAGGGATTAGTATGTATTAATGATTTTGTGACTAGAATAACTTCCTTTGTTCAGTAGCTTTATGAGAAGTTTGACCTTGAAGTGTTTACTCAACCACCATGGCTAGTACTATTATCTTTAGCCCATTTACTTAAAGTTAAAAAGTATGAACCTTTCTTTGAGAATGAGAAGCACCATCATGAGGGAAAGTGGCTAGCAACCTTGACTCGATTCAAAAGTGATTTGTACTACCTTAAATTTGACTATGAACTTAGGAGGAGAGTTGTGGAACCACCAAAGTTGGGGAGAACCAAACCTTGAAAGAATTTGACCAACTTCATTACTTGAACTCCCAACTACCTTTTGTTTATCCTAGACTTCACAAGGTGTTTGTTTCCTCCATTGATGAATCTATACAACCTTTTGAAAGGCAAAAGAATGATCCTTCTCCTTCTCCTACTCCAAGTTATGAGACTCCTACCTTTTTGGTAGACGTCCAAGCCCAAAAGCCAATTTTCATATTGTAAAAGGCCCAAAAATTCATGATGCTTCATATTCATATATAAGATTACCAAGCCTAAAGTATCATCCACCTTTTCTCCAAGGGTCCAACGTAATTTCTTGTAAGCCAATTTGTGGATGTGCTAGCCCACACTATAGCCCAATTTATATTCCAAATTAAAGCTCGAGCCATACTCTAAAGTACAGTGATTACAACCCACTTTACCCAACTAAAAATCCTACTACACTTGGCCTAGTTATTGAAGCTTATTGAGTTGAGTGGATGGTAAGACAAACTATGACGATCTAGATTATGATCTTTCCAAAGAAGACTTTGATTATGAGAATTCAGATTAAGTGGTTAAATTACTTTGATATGCTTTCAATAAATGTCTTAAGTGAAGTTATTCTTGTTTCAATTTTTCTATGTTTTGGAATGAATTAAGTGTATTCATGGTGTGTTCCTTTTAATTTTCAAGTATGGTATGAATAACCAGGAATTATGTCTTCAAGAATGGGAAATAAGCGATCTGGTTCCAAAGTAGGCAAGGTCCTTAGGAAGTTAACCAACATAGCTGAAAACATCACGCAAGTGGTGAACCAAGGAAACTGTCATTTTGACTTAAATTCTTACAGTGAAACCTTTAAAAGGATAGTCACAGCTAAACCACCTGTGTACTTGGGGAAAGGAGGACCCAGCCAGTCTTGAAAACTAGTATCACGCGGCAGTAATACGCCTAAGTCTATTTCTACGGTATAATTATATGTATTATACTAGTGTTTCCGTAGAGGGAGATTTGGGGGTGTTACAGGTTATTCAACTCATTTAATTTCCAGTCATTTCTTTATCCATTAATAAAATTTTTAATCCATTTATTTTCCAAATAATCCATTTCTTTTCCAAATAATCCATTTCATTGCCAATTAATTCATTTCATATCAAACCACTCCACTTATCCATTTCTTACTCGATTACCCCAATCTTCCATTTCAAACTTTGGGAATCATGGGAATTATTTTATGTATTATTGCTATGCTATTAAATGAATGGTAGGTTAGCAATAAAAAATGTGTTGACCAAGCTACAAGTTGAGAGTAGTGACTTTTGCAACCTCAAATTGGTAGTTTAAATTAAATGTGTATGTATGCTTGGTGCAAGTTAATAGGATGGGTGTTTAATTTGAGAGCTAACCATAACCATAAGTAACAAGAGACCCCTTGTTTTAATTCAGGAGACATAAGATGACAGGAGGTAGTGGAGATAATAACAATGGAAGGAATAAGTTAAGTGAAGTAGTGAGGCAACTAGCCGCAGTGGCTCAATAGTTGGTAAGAAACTCGTCTTACTAATGGCCAGGGTGAAATACTCAAGAAGGTTGCTCAAAGCAAAGCACCAACTTACTAAGGTGAACCTTACCCTACTGTGTTAGAGAATTGGTTAAGGGAGTTTGAAAAGTTATTTGGGGTGGTAGGATGCCTAGAAACCTTGAAAGTTGGTTGTGCTACTTACTATTTGCGAGGAGAGGCAAATCTTTGGTGGCAGCAAAATGCATCGACTATTAAGAAATTGTGGGTTTTAATTGGACTATGTTTCAGGAGAAGGTTGGGGATAAGTTTTACCCTAGTTTTCTATAGAAACAAAAAGCTGAAGAGTTCTCTAATTTAGCAATGGGGGAAATGTCAGTGACTGAGTACTACACGAAGTTCATTGAGTTGTCGAGGTTCGCTAAGGAATATGTTGCTATAGAAAAGGCAAAAACTAGGAAGTTTGAGAGTGGATTGATCACTGACCTTCAATTTAAGCTGTGTGAACAGGTGTTTGATACTTTGGATGAGGATTATGGAAGGCCTGGACATCTCTACACTTTAAAGTTGAAGAAAAAGGAATTGGCTGAAACAGAAGGGAAGGAAAGAGAAAAGATATGGGACAAAGTTCTGAGAACCATTAGGGTAACCATAATAATTTTAAGAAGCAGAAGTTCACCCATAACAATAGCAACTTCCACAACAACAATAATTTCAACAACAACAACCGTCAGGGTGGACGAAACTTTAATGGAGGAGCTAAGAACTTTAACTAGGGAAATAGCAAAGCACCAAGACATTACTATTGTAAAAGGTGTAGAAATGATCACCCTAATAAAGACTGTGAAGGTAACTTAGTCACTTGTCGTGCTTGCAACAAGTTAGGCCACAAGGAATATGAGTGTTTCTCTAGGGATTCTAACCGGAACAAGCAAGGGAGCAACCAAGGAGAAAATCCATCAAGGAATTTCCAAGGAAACAACAACTAGGCAGGAAACAAAGGGCTACAACAAAATAGGGTAAAGAACAGCAACAATGGGAATAACCAAGTAAAAGAAAGAGCTCTAGGAAGACTGAATGTGATGAGTAGGCATGAAGCTGATGCAACAAGGGATGTGATTACTGGTACTTTCTCTATTAACTCTGTTCCTGTTAACGTTTTGTTTAATTCTGATGCAACTTTTTCTTTTATTTCTAAAGCCATTGTTCCAAAGCTATTACATTGCTTGAAAACCGTAGATGTTATAGGCGTACCTATAGTTATTCCTACGGGAGGGGTAGTACAGTGTACCAAAAACTTTAAGGATGTGCCATTAGAGATTAAAGGGAAGGAATCTGATCTCATTGAGTTTGAGTTGAGTGATTTAGATATCATCTTGGGAATGGATTGGTTAAGCAAGTATAACGCAGAGATTCGTTGTCAATCACACAAGGTATCGTTAAGGACGTCTGAGAGTGAATTGGTAACTCATTGGAGACATGGGGAACAAAAGCGTCCAAAGATCATTTCTATGCTGAAGTTGGCTAAGTACATCAAGAAGGGGCACCCATTGTATTTTTGTAGTGTAAGGAATTTGGATTATGAAGAAACATCTACGATAGAGAATATAGAAGTAGTGAATTAATTTCTGGACATGTTTCCAGAGGAGATTCTAGAGATGCCACCTAAGAAAGAAATTGACTTCACAATAGAATTGGTCCCAGGAACATCACCAATTTCCAAGGCACCATATCAAATGGCACTTGCAGAAATGAGTGAATTGAAGGATCAACTGCAGGATTTGCTAGAAAAAGGATATATTAAACCAAGTGGAGCACCTTAGGGAGCTCTAATGTTGTTTGTTAAGAAGACAGATGGGAGTATGAGGTTGTGCATTGACTATAGAGAGTTGAATAAAGTCACTATAAAGAACAAGTACCCATTACCAAGGATTGATAACTTATTCGACCAATTGAGGGGCGCATATGTGTTTTCCATGATTGACCAGAGGTCAGGATATCATCAGTTGTGAATTGCAGATGAAGATATTCTTAAGACAGCATTTAGGACAAGGTATGAGCATTACGAGTTCACGGTGACGCCATTTGGGTTGACGAATGCTCCAGCAATCTTTATGGACTTAATGAATTGAGTGTTTCATCCATTTATGGACAAGTTTGTTGTCGTATTCATAGATGATGCATGTATTGGTGTATTCGAAGAATAAGGAGGAGCATGTGGAACATTTGAGGGAAATCTTACAAACCTTAAGGGAAAATAAGCTATATGCGAAGTTTTCCAAGTGTGAGTTTTGGTTAGAGAAGGTAGCATTTCTAGGTCACTTTGCATCCAAGGATGGGGTAGAAGTAGATCCAGCAAAGATTGAAGCAATAAAAGGATGGCCTACGCCAAAGATAGTGTCTGATGTCAGGAGTTTCTTAGGTTTAGGAGGATATTATAGGCGTTGTGTGAAGGACTTTTCTAAAATTGCTAAGCCTATGACTTCTGTGATGAAGAAAGACCGTAAGTTTGAGTGTGATGAGAAGTGTGAAGAAGCATTCTTACTATTGAAGGAAAAACTAACTACTGCACCAGTGTTGACATTACCAGACGATAGTGGACACTATAATGTGTATAGTGACGCACCCAAAAATGATTTGGGATGCGTGCTTATGCAAAATGGTAAGGTAATTGCAAATGCATCGAGACAATTGAAACCTCACGAGGCAAATTACCCTACACATAACTTGGAGTTAGCTGCAATTATTTTTGCATTGAAGATTTAGAGGCATTACTTGTATGGAGTGAAGTGTAGGATTTACACGGATCATAAGAGTTTAAAGTACATCTTCACTCAAAGAGACTTGAACTCACGCCATAGAAGGTGGTTGGAGTTTATCACGGAATACCATGAGGACAAGCAAATGTAGTTGTCGATGCTCTAAGTTGAAAATCAAGCCATGGAGTGAATACTTTGGTAGTGGCTGACGAATAAGCAAAGAGATGAATAAAATGAACTTGGAAGTGGTAGGGAGAGGGGCGGTGGAAGGTATGCTTGCAATTCTGAGTATCCAACCAATGATATTGGATGAGATAAGTGAGAATCAAGCAGGAGATGTTAAGTTGGACATGATTCATGAGAAAATTAAGCAGGGACATGCTACAGATTTTAAGATTCATGAAGATGGAATCTTGAGGTACAAAGGTAGATGGCGTGTACTCAAAAGTGTGAGGAAGTAAAGAGGAAGTTGATGGAAGAAGGGCACAATACACCCTATTCAGTACACCTTGGTGGAGACAATAACTGTATAAGTACACCTTGGTGGAGACAATAACTGTATAAGGACTTGAAAAAGGTGTACTAAAAAAGATCGAACACAAGAGACCAAAAGGAACCGTGCAACCATTAGATGTTTTGGGATGGAAATGGGATAGTATTTCAATGGATTTTGTTACTTGCCTCCCAAAGTCGAAGAGTGGAAATGATACCGTTTGAGTTGTGGTGGATAGACTTACGAAATTTGCAGTGTTTATACCAATGAATGAGACTTGGAAGATGGAGAAACTTGCAAAAGCTTACATCAAAAACGTTGTGAGGTTACATGGAGTTCTAAGGGATATTGTGTCGGACAGAGACTTTAGGTTTCTTTCAAAGTTCTGGAAAAATGTTCAGGGAAACTTTGGTATGACACTAAAGATGAATACAACATTTCACCCTGCCACATATGGGCAAACGGAGAGAAAAATTAAAACCTTGGAGGATATGTTAAGAGCCTTTGTTATAGATTTCCAAGGTGGATATGAAGATAGCTTGGACTTAATTGAGTTTTCTTACAACAATAGCTACCACGCAAGTATTGGGACGGCACCATTTGAGGCATTGTATGGAAGGAAGTGTCGTAGCCCTGTGTGTTGGAACGACATAAGTGAAACAATGATTTTAAGGCCTTAAATGATCGAAGATACAGTCAAGCAAGTGAAGGAGATTCAAGGTAAGATTAAGGCAGCACAAGACCGTCAAAAAGCTACGCAGATTTGAAGCGTAGAGAAGATAAGTTTGAAGTTGGTGACCAGGTGTTGTTAAAAGTGTCGCCAATGAAACGTGTTATGAGATTTGGGAAGAAAGGGAAACTCAGCCCAAAGTATTTTGGTCCATATGAGATACTACAAAGAATAGGCAAAGTAGCCTATAGATTAGCCTTACCTATGGAGTTGAGTAAGGTGCACGATGTTTTTCATGTGTCCCAACTGAGAAGGTATATACCTGATAAATCACACGTGTTACAACCCGAAACAATTGAGTTAGATCAAATCTTAACTTATGAGGAAAGACCTGTTAAGTTCCTTGACAGCAAAGTGCATAGTACATGCAACAAGGAAGTTAAGATTGTTAAGGTGCTATGGTCTAACCAAGAATATGAGGAATCAACTTGGGAAGCCGAGGATGAGATGAGAAAGAAGTACCCTGAGTTGTTTAAGGTATGTTGAGTTACGGGGAAGTAACTCGTTTCCTTTAAGGGGGGTAGAGTGCGGTAGAATTTCACGTTTTTTCCTTGAATTTCCATTAAATTTAGTGCTTTTTGCACATTTTTAACGGTAATTTTGAGTATTTTTGGTTTCAAAAAGACATTTAAGGTAAATTTATGTCAAAAGAGTACAACAATATTACACAAAATGAGAAAAAAGGTTTTCAAAAGTTGGTATTCTTTCACTCATGTAGTGTGGATTTTGTTTTTCGTTACCCAAGTTTCGGGGACTAAACTTCTTTTAAGGGATAGACTGTAATACCCCGTATTTTCATACAATTTATAAATTAAAGTAATACTTTATAACGTATTTTAATAATTTGAAATGATTTATTTATGGTACTTTAATATTTAAAGGTTGTATTTAAATTAAAAACCCCTTTATTAATTATTGAAATGGTTTTGGAAATACTTTATTTTTATATTTAGAAACTTTGGGGCATATTTAATTTACAAAAGAATTTTAAAGTCAAAGGAAATTCAAATAAAGTCAAATGACAACTTTGAGTGGAAGTGGGAATTATTAAGGGTAAAAAGGGGAATTTAAGGTAGAAGGGTTTAAAAGGGAGTATAAAAACCCACCTAAGAGCAAATGTAGACTTTGCCCAAGGTGGAGAATACCCAAAGGTAAACTCTCTCTCCTCTTATTTTCTCTCTCCCTCAATTTTCCCCACTCTCCCTCTCCCTCTCCCTCACGGCACCCACACACAACCACACCAAGGTGGTCGGTCGCCACCACCATTCCACCGGTCGGCCACCGCCACCAGCAGCACACCGGAGGAAGGCGGCAGCAACCCCTCTCTTATGTGTGCGGTGTGTGTGTTTTTCTTAAAAAATGTTCTTGCTGTAAAAATTTAATCAAGCCTTAATTAATTATTGTTTTAGGATATTTTGTGATGAGATTATGATGATTTTGATAGTGTTTAATATATATAATTTTTAGATTTTTTTTTCCTCAGAAAAATAAATTCAGATTTGATTTTATATGAAAAAGCCCCAAATTAATTAAACCCTAGGTTTCTAAATTGATGTTTATTGAAGTAAATTAATTGTGATTGGTTTGTATTATTGAATTGATGTTTTTAAGTCAAATTAAGGCAAGTTCTAAGGTTATAATATTGCTGGAATTTTTATATAGAGCCTAAATTAAGGTTTTCTTGAAAGGATTTTAATTACCCATTAATTGGAAATAAAATTAAATGGTTCTATATAAATTTCAGCCTGTTTTGAGAGGTTTAAAGGTGTTTTAAAGTGTGTTTATATTGCTGAAAATTTAATAAGAATATGTATTAATGCTTCTTGATGTTTGTGGATTGTAGGAGACTTCCAAATGAGTGATTTCGTGTAGTCGTGGCGATTTTGAGATCATATTCGAGGTACGTATACGTACTCGATATTTATTAAGCGTGTAGAAGCATGCTAGGACTTATTTTAATTGATTTCAAATTAGTATCATGCTAGGAATTGGTTGAAATTGGTGAATTGAATTGGACTGCTGAATTGAAATGGTTTTTGGTGAATTATTTATGAAGCATGATTGGTTGAAATAACTTATTTGTTGGACTTGGTGATCATGGAATATTGTTATTGAACCACACTTTTATTTTTGGCATGATTGAAGGCATGTTTAATTAAACTAAATGTTTAATTTGTTTGGAATATAAAAAGGGAATTTTATTATAGTTCATATAACTTTTATTGATGCTATAAGCATGAGAATTGAGCTATTAAGTGTCTTAATACACAGGAATAAAATATATTGCGGTGCCTAAGTGCACTTAAGGTGTTATAAAAACAGAGGGATAGAATTTGTGGTGCATTATGCGCTTAAGGTGTTTTAACACCGAAGTAGTTTAAAAAGGGTTCAACATTAAATTATTTGTGATCACTAATTATTCAAGAATTGAATTGGAATGTTTGATTACTTGAATGAATGGTATTGATTGGTTGTGTTGTGGATTGAGAGTCATCACCAAGTCTAAAATGTAACTAACGTAAAGTGAAAGAGATTACGCACCAAAACTCTTGGAACATATATACCTCGAGTATGGACATATGGGGGGGGTATGGGGATTTATATTTAACCATAATTTCTATTGGGGGTACAGGATGCTGTATTTTCCTTTTTATTTTATTATGCACAGGACGTCCGTTACTCACAAGTGACATTTATGCCTACTCGGTTAGCTCCCAGAGTAGTTTTCCTCAATTTATTTGGGGCAGGTATTTGGTTGGACACCCGTTCGATGCGTAAACAATTAAATGAACAATTAAATTGTCTATTGTATGAGTTGTATGTTGTATGCTTGAAAACAGGTTTAAGAACTCAAGAAGGTATGTTGTGTGATGTTAGGTTGTAAGCATGTTAGTGTGTTTTGTTTACGCTTATGTACTCAGCATTGCTGATTGTGTGTTTATATGTTTGTTTGGCCTTGTATTTATCTTAGCCCTACGACGACCTATTTCTAACGATGAGTAGTGGGGACAAAGTAAAGAGAAGCTTTTCAGGTGATGCAGCATATTCATGTTAGGCATCAGTGAAGAGCGAATCTTGTTTAGTTTCTTTGAGGATATGATGTGTTTATTTGCTCTGAATATTATTTATTTGCTTATGGGACTAACACAATGATTTTAATTATTTGACTTGGAATTTGAAAGGGCCTACAATGGTTTTAAGTTGTAGGTTGACTTTGTTTGACTTTGGTTAGAATTTACTTTCGTTTGGTTTGACTTTGAAGTTAGTTTTATGTTTTAAAAAGGATTTTTGAAACGAGTCTTCCGCTGTGTTTCTTTGGTAATTGCGTTATCTACGGTGGTGGTAATGTCTTACAATTTCCTATTTCGTATTACAAAAAGGGTAAAACATGTATTTTAAAGGAAATGAATTTCTAGGGTGTTACATTCGTGTTCTTAATTCTTCCATACACATTTACCTAAAATATTATTTGAACTCTTTTTTTAATTATAGAAAATGAGCCACTGCTTTAGGTACAAGATACTATCATTACTTCCTGGACATCTTTTAAATGGAGTATTATTTAATTTTGTCCAAAAAGTAATAATAAAATTGATTCATATAATTGATATTTAAGAACTTACTTTAAAATATCACTTTAATTTTTTTTTTTTCAAATACCTCTAATATTTTATTTCTTAGACTAATGGAGTATTAGATATGACTATATAGAAAATATATGTTGTGTTTGACAACTATATCATATGTTTAATTCTAAGAAAATGTGAAATATTAATCAATTTTTTGTTATTACGTAATTAAATATATTAATATCTTAGTAAGTAGAAAAAAAAATTATCATCTTTTGCTAAAACATTTGATTGAGATAATAAATTTATTACATTCACATTATAAATAAGGTGCATAGTAAAAGACACATCGTACTTAGTGACAATAAATAAGGTGCATCTTCTTGTGTATCTTTTTTTTTTGGATAAATAGTTATTATCTACAAATAAACTTTTAAGACAATAAAAAAACAATGATCTAACTACAATTATTGGATAGCCTCAAACACATTTTTATATAATAACAAAGAGCGACGATGTCATGTAGAGCATCAATTCATAAACAGAAAATGTAATATTAAAAATATAGGATAGTGTTGCCTAATTGTGGATTACTATTGGTTTTAATGATCCAAGTAGTATTTATTTCCATTGAAATTATTTTATTGGATATAAAGGTGATATATTATTTGTAATTTATATATTTATATGCATGTTGTGCTATTAGTTTTATTGTAGATTTTATTCTGTTGTTTGATTAATATTTTCTAGTTTATTAAAAAGTATTTATAAATAAGTCTTTAGTATAGTTACTAGATTGCATAGTTTTATTAGGATATAATATGCATCATAATTTATACTACTTTAAAACAATTTCAACAATAATTTTTTTTTTCTCAATTATAGTTTTAATTATTTTTGTCTTATTATTATTTTTTTTATATGCATTGCATTTGTTTATTCCACATTAATTGCCTCATTTTGGTCAAGAGCACTAATCTAGTCTAGTTTTTAATAAAAAAAAATCAGTAACTTTAAAGAAGAACTATACTCGTAAATATCGTAATAGAGTATGGTTAAGTGGTACCCCGTACCTTTTTTTAGGCTTGTACAAAACCATCCGAGAATCCGAAAATCCGATCCGAATTTTTGGATATCTGATCCGAGTTTTCATTATCCGAAAAAACAGATATCGGATGTGGATTTGGATATTGATTTTCAAAATTTCGAATATCCGATATTGATCCGAAATATAAAGGTTGAAATAGTGAAATATATATAAAATTTTTAAATTGTTCATATAAAATTGACCTTGTCTTATTAACTTATTATAATATTCTTAATATATTTGATGATAATTTTTATTGCAAAAAGACTACTATTTTGTTAAAATATGTTGTACAACTTGATGTAAATCTAAATACACCCTCCCGAATATGGGTTGATGGATTTAAAATTACTTATAGTTAGAATACTCAAATATCATGGAACAAGATAAAAGGGCCAAAACTCAAGGACACACTCAAAGTTTTGGGGTTTTAGGCCAGAGATAAGACTCACTCAATCTCTCCTAAGCTTATCACTCAAGACTTACTCAAAGCAATAAGGGAACACTTGAACTTGAGACAAACTCTAAGTTAAAATGCTAAAACACAAGGTTTTTTATCCAAACTCAAAACTGGTTTTTATTTCTGTTTTGCTCTCCCTTTTATAGAGGAAAGGAGCAGCAAAAACACACCAAAAGTCAAGGAAAACCGTCCAAGCATGAACAGCCAAAAGCCAGCAGTTTTCCTCCTTGATTTAAGCTAAACAATAAAAGCATAATAAAGCCTAATGATAACTTCCTATTACAACCGGCCAAAGAGCTAAACTCTTGGCATTATTTCAGCAACATTAACTAAAATATAAGATAATAATAGCTAGTAAATGGCTTAGGATCCACACGCCCAAAATAGCATGAAATGCGTCCAAAATGTGATGCTAGCCAACCGTGTACCAATCTTCAATCTTCCCATGAAATGCAGCATAGAATTTCACCCTTCTTTGTGAATGGGAAAAACCCAAGAGTCTCTAAGACTAAAGCAACAGGTTCATTAGATGTCCACTTTGGATCATTCCCCCCTTCTTCAAAAGAGTTTGCCCTCAAACTTGAATCATCAAAGTATGGTGATAAATCCCCTACATTGAAAGTCGCACTAACACCCATCAATTTGTCTGGTAGCTCAATTTTGTAAGCACTATCGTTCACCCTCTCAAGAACCTTAAAAGGACCATCAGAACGAGGCATAAGCTTGTTTTTGCGAAGCTTAGGGAACCTCTCCTTCCTCAAATGCACCCAAACCAAGTCCCCGGGATGAAAAATAGGCTGTTTGCGTTTCTTATTGGCTCGCTCTTGGTATTTTTTATTCATCTCCTCAATTCTTTTCTTCACTTGCTCACAGGTTTTTTGAAAGGTTTCCACCCTCTTTTTAGCATCTTTCTCTACCATGTCACTCTTAACCATAGGAACAAGATCAATCGGCACAAATGGGTTCACTCCATAAACTACTTCAAATGGAGAACGAGAAGTAGTTAGGGAATGAGCTCTATTGTAAGCAAACTCCGCATGGGCTAATTTCATGTCCCAATCTTTTTGCGTTTTGCTCACAAGACCTCGTAACAAAGTACCCAAAGTTCTATTAGTGACCTCGGTTTGCCCATCGGTTTGGGGATGATGAGAGGTACTAAATAGTAACTTGGTACCCACAAGTTTCCATAGGGTTCTCCAAAAGTGACTAAGGAATTTGGAGTCCCTATCAGATACTATACTTCGAGGAATGCCATGGAGTTTGACAATTTCCTTGAAGTACAGCTCGGCCACTTTCACGGCATCATCAGTTTTATTACAAGCTACAAAGTGTGCCATTTTAGAGAATCTATCTACAACAACCATGATGCTATCTCTTCCCCTTTGAGTGCGAGGCAATCCAACAATGAAATCCATGCTAACACTTTCCCATGGAGCATCCGGAACTGGCAACGGAGTATAAAGACCCTTTGTGAAGTGTCCCTTAGCCTTTTGACAAGTAGCACATCTCTCCACAACATGAGTAACATCCTTGATCATTCTAGGCCAATAGAAGTGTTCACCTAGAATATCAAGAGTCTTTTGTATCCCAAAATGACCGGCTAAACCTCCACCATGCACTTCTCTCACTAATAACTCCCTAACCCCACTCTTCGGAACACATAGCTTGTTACCTTTAAAGAGGTAGCCATCTTGTCTCACAAACTCTTTGGTAGGATTCTCTATCTCGCTAGCAAAGTCGGGATCATTTATGTAACATTCCTTGAGTTGTTCAAAACCCAAGATCTTAGCATCCACCATGGAAAGTAAGTAGCTCCGACGAGACAATGCATCGGCCACAACATTACTCTTTCCATCCTTGTACTTGGAGCTAAAGGTAAATGATTGGAGAAACTCCACCCATTTAGCATGTCTCTTGTTGAGTTTTTGTTGCCCATGAATGAATTTCAGAGCCTCATGATCGGAATGAAGAACAAATGGTTTTGGTCTAAGGTAGTGAGACCAATGATCAAGTGCTCTAACTATGGCATAGAACTCACGGTCATAAGTGGAATAGTTCAACTTAGCCCCATTCAACTTCTCACTAAAGTAACTCACGGGCTTCTTCTCTTGAATCAAAACAGCACCTATTCCAATCCCACTTGCATCACACTCTACCTCAAACACTTTGTTGAAATCTGGTAGCACAAGTATAGGAGCGTTGCAAAGCATATGTTTAACCTTCTCAAAGGCCCGTTGAGCATTTTCTTCCCATACGAACTCACCCTTTTTGGTCAACTCGGTGATTGGAGCCATGATGGTAGAGAAGTTTTTGATGAACCGCCTATAGAAGGAGGCAAGTCCATGAAAACTTCTAACTTCGTGCACATTGGTTGGAGCCAACCAAGACTGGACTGCTTTTACCTTCTCCGGATCTACATGAACCCCCTCTCCTGTTACAATGTATCCTAAGAATACAACACTAGGAGTCATGAATACACATTTTTCAAGCTTACCATACAACTTCACCTCCCTCAATTTTTCAAACAATCTCCTCAAATGAATTACATGATCATCATTGTTTTTACTATACACAAGAATGTCATCTAAGTAAACAACAACAAAATCATTAAGAAAAGGACGGAGAACTTCATTCATCAATCTCATGAAGGAGCTTGGGGCGTTGCAAAGCCCAAATGGCATCACTAACCACTCATACAACCCTTGTTTTGTTTTGAAAGCCGTCTTCCACTCATCCCCCTCTCGAATTCTCATTTGATGGTACCCACTCCTTAAATCTATTTTGGAAAAGACTAAGGCACCACTCAACTCATCTAACATATCTTGCAATCGAGGCATAGGAAAACGGTATTTGACCGTTATATTGTTAATGGAACGACTATCAACACACATTCTCCAAGTACCATCTTTTTTTGGTACTAAGAGGGCTGGAACCGCGCAAGGACTAAGGCTTTCTCTCACATAACCTCTCTCAAGTAATTCGTTCACTTGCTTTTCAAGTTCCTTACTCTCTTCCGGATTACACCTATAGGCAGCCTTGTTGGGCAAAGGTGCTCCTGGAATTAAGTCAATGGCGTGCTCAATGCCTCTAATTGGAGGTAGGCCTTTGGGCAAGTCATTGGGGAACACATCTTGGTACTCTTCTAATAACTCATTTAGCATGGATGAGTTAATACAAGTAGTACCATTATCATCTTTGGTCCTTACCACCAAAGCATACCCTCCCCCCATTTCTTTCATTATTCGTTCATATTCATTACAAGTTACAAGATAATTGCTTTTCTCTTTTTCTTTCTTAGCAACTTTAGGAGGTAAAGGCACTAACTTAACTTTTCTACCATTTTTGGTAGTTACAATATACACATTAGTTTTCCCTTTATGCTCCGAATCATGATCAAACTGCCACGGTCTTCCAAGCAACAAATGACACGCATCCATAGGAAGAATATCACACCAACGCTCATCTTCGAACCCTCCAATGGAATAAGACACCAATGCTTGCTTCTTGACTCTAATGCTTGTGCCATCATTCAACCAATTGAGCTTGTAAGGTTCACCATGGTCTCTAGTGGGTAGCTTCAATTTACTCACAGCCTCGGATGAAACAACATCTGTTTGGGCACCACTATCAACAATCACATTGCAAGTCTTCTCTCCTATCTTGCATCTAGTGTGGAACAAGTTGTTTCGTTGTTTAAGATCAATTTCGGGTTCATTATACAAGATTCTACGAACCACCATCATGTTGAACTCATCTTCGGGTTGAATCTCTTCCTCATACTCTTCATCAAACTCGCAACCCTCCTCATGAGCCACAAAGTTATAGACCTTTTCTTCCTCATCCATGAGAGCACATTGAGAGGCTGTTAACACACTCTTACTAGGACATTCCGATGCAATATGTCCTCTCCCATGACACTTGAAGCATTTTCTCCTAGTTGAAAGCTCACTAGGCGAAACTACTTGTTTTTCTTTCCCTTTTGATGAGCTAGGTGAAAAGGTTTTACTTTGAAAAGTACTCCCTTTAGAGTTGAAAGGAGTAAATTTCGAAGTATTCTTGAAAGAAGAAGTTTTGGGCTTCTCTTTCTCCCTTTCTTCTTTAAGTTGAGACTCATACTTCAAAGCTAGTTTGCATACATCACTAAAAGTGGCATAATGAGTAACTTCCACTTTCCTATTAATTTCTTTGGTCAACCCCTTGACAAATCTAGCAATTTTGTAAGCCTCCTTTTCTTGCAAGTCGCAAGTCAAGCCTAACCTTTCAAATTCTTTTATGTAATCCTCCACACTCATGTTTTCTTGTGATAGGTGGGTTAATTTTAAGTATTGATCTTGCTCATACTCTTTACTTACCCATTTTTCCCTCATTTTCTTTTTTAATTTTTCCCATGAGTCTATCTTATCTTTCCCTTCTCTTCTTCTATTTGACTTGAGGTTTTCATACCACAATGCAGCTAGTTTAGTGAGTTTAAGGACAGCCAACTTGAACCGTTTCCTATCATCATACCCCTTGTAATAAAAAACGGTTTCAATTTGCCTAACCCAATCTAAGAAAGCCTCACAATCATGCCCTCCATCAAATTCATGCATATCAATTTTTAGACCCCTATCTTCATCAAATTGTCTAAAATTGTTACCACTATTTTCATCCTCCTCCTCTAATTCATTTATTTTCCTAGTGGCTTTAAGGAGCATATCAGATATGGCATCCATCCTAGTATCTTGTTGTGCCCTAGAGACTTCACTCTCTTCTGTTTTTTTCTCCAAATTCTCCAATTTTTCAGTGATTACTTGCAACATTCTAGCAAGCTCCTCACTAGACATGATTTCCACTATTTTTGCTTGGATATTACAAGTACAATGAGTGAAAACTGCCGAAATTAGAGACAAAATGAAAAACGAAAATTGCCTCTAGATTCTCAAAGGCTTACAAATTCAGAAAATTCAGATCAAAACAACCAATTTGCAAAACAGAAATTCCTCAAAAGCTTTTCGGATGAGGGAGAAATCTTCAATTGAATTCTGCCTTCCCGGTTTTGCCTCTTTTCTGCGTTGCTGCGAAAAACCTGCCCAGTTTATTAGCAGAAAAATTCCAAAATATCTGTAAATTTTTGTGAGTAATCTACGCAAAAAACTATCCAGATTCAAAAAAGAAATAACTCGATTTGGACAGAAAACGAAGGAGATATGTCCTTCTCAAACCGCAACTCCAAACTGATTGAATTCTGCCGTTTTGCTCCAAACGCCTTCAAACTCGATTTTCTTCAAGAAACCCTTAACTAGGCTCTGATACCAGATGATGTAAATCTAAATACACCCTCCCGAATATGGGTTGATGGATTTAAAATTACTTATAGTTAGAATACTCAAATATCATGGAACAAGATAAAAGGGCCAAAACTCAAGGACACACTCAAAGTTTTGGGGTTTTAGGCCAGAGATAAGACTCACTCAATCTCTCCTAAGCTTATCACTCAAGACTTACTCAAAGCAATAAGGGAACACTTGAACTTGAGACAAACTCTAAGTTAAAATGCTAAAACACAAGGTTTTTTATCCAAACTCAAAACTGGTTTTTATTTCTGTTTTGCTCTCCCTTTTATAGAGGAAAGGAGCAGCAAAAACACACCAAAAGTCAAGGAAAACCGTCCAAGCATGAACAGCCAAAAGCCAGCAGTTTTCCTCCTTGATTTAAGCTAAACAATAAAAGCATAATAAAGCCTAATGATAACTTCCTATTACAACCGGCCAAAGAGCTAAACTCTTGGCATTATTTCAGCAACATTAACTAAAATATAAGATAATAATAGCTAGTAAATGGCTTAGGATCCACACGCCCAAAATAGCATGAAATGCGTCCAAAATGTGATGCTAGCCAACCGTGTACCAATCTTCAATCTTCCCATGAAATGCAGCATAGAATTTCACCCTTCTTTGTGAATGGGAAAAACCCAAGAGTCTCTAAGACTAAAGCAACAGGTTCATTAGATGTCCACTTTGGATCACAACTTTACGATAAAAAGCGGTAAAATTAGTGAAATTTAGAAAGTAATCATAATAAATTTTACTTAATATTGGATAATGAATATCCGAACCATCCGATCCGAAAATATTGGATTTCCAAAATTTTCAGATCGAATTTGAATATCAGTTTCTGATATACTAGATATCCGATCCGTGAACCGGCATGCCTTTTTCAACAAGTTTTCTACTGCTACACCATCGTTTGTTTTCTGAGTCCTAACCTCAAAACAAAAGCGCCGAGCGAAAAAGCGCCAATGGAGGAGAAAGTAAAGCGTCAATTCTTCCCATCCATGGATTCCCGAATGCAGCGCTACAAATCTGTTTGGAGAGTTTTAATGGTTGTCAACTTAGGTTTTGGAGGTCACTTTCTTTCTCTCTCTTCCCTTAATTTTTTTTTTTTTTTTTGTTTTTTTTTGCTATTAATCTCAACTTTTCTGCTCTAATTTGCTGATTTAGTTCTATAATTTTTCAATTTCATTGATTAATTTCTTGTTATTTCTTCTGATTATTGCAATTTTAATCACATTTTTCTTGCCCCAATTTGGATAATTATATGTTTAGTGCCTGAGATACTTCGAACTGGGTAACGGAATCAGAAGTAGGATTCAGTTTCTAATTAATACCTAGTTTTATAGATTTTTCTGGTGTTTGGTGTGATTTTCTTGGGATTAGGGATACATGGGAACGAGATTTTTATTGTGGGTTTGTATTAGAAGGGTTTAATTTGCTACATTGATGAACTGAAGAACTGGAAAAGAGGGGAGAATAGGATAAGTAGGGTATGAGGTGAATTTGAAGTTAAATACGAAGTAGTCTAGAATGTTTACGAATCTGAGGAATGGGTTAATCTCATTTTGTTTTCAGGATTACTTTTGAATCAGATTGGGTCTGAATCTTTAACTAACATGAATGTTTAATAGCGAGAATTCTATTGTTCTTTGATTCAACGGCTGGGTAGTATATAACTAGAATTAATACGATTTGCATCGATGAGTGTATTGACTTCATAATTTCTTAGTGGAGGCGGGAGGATTGATTTTATCAATAGAAACTTCTATGTAAACGTTGGTGAAGTATGTTATTGCTGAGCTCTACTAGGAAAATTCTGTTTTATGTATGGAGAGATGGTAAGGATGAAATATTGAGGTAGTCGATGCTTACTTAGCATGCATTTGTGGAGAATTTGCAGGGCAATGTGAAAAATCTTAGCTGAGTCATTACTCAACATTAATTAGCATTTTTGTTACTAGTTCCATTGACGGGTGTAATAGATTGATGACCAAAGTTGTTGAAGTTCAAGAATCTTGCATTTTCAACTTTTAACAAAAGGTTGAGGGATAGGGAAAGATGACAATATGATTGCTCAACCTTTGTTACCTTTGTTGCTCGTTAGTTGCTTGCTAAAGTTAACTTAACTGCTTTTGATTTTCATACTGGTTAAGGGCTTGTGAGGGTAAAATTTGTTTGAAGTCTTTAAAGAGCTACTTAACATGGTTCAATTTTGTGTAGATTTGTATGGATCTCAACCTTATTTTTACTACTCTTATATTAGGTGTTTCCTTTTTTTTTTTCCATCTCTCCTTCAGTTTTATAGAACAATCATTGTTAACTTGTAATCAACACAGCAGGGTGTAGCTCATGCTCTTTCCTTTTTTATTATTTTTTTTTATATTTATATATTTTTTCAGATTTTGATCTTGTGAAACTCTGCAGAAGGGTTTGTTTGGTTGATGTATGCATGTCATGAACTTATTCTAAATGCTTTTAATATTGTGTTGTGACAGCTTTATCTAGTTCTAACTGTCCAGTGATGAACTTTTTCACCAGAAAACCTTTTGTGCCCAACTATATAGTAGTTTGATGATTCTCTATGACTTGATTTTGATTTAATATATGACTTGTAACAGTTGTAAGTGTCATCAAATGAATTCTGCTTCACGTAGCTTATAGGAGCTGTTGTGTCACCAATTGTTTCAACAGCATCTGCTAAGTATAGATGTTGAGAAGAGTGTCTTACTTGTCCAGTCAAGATGTTTCTTCTTTGATCCAATGCCTTTGCCCATTTCAAAGATCAAATCCAGTAGTTCAAATTGATATGATTTGGTCATTCTTTTGTCTGTGGACCAAAGTACTCGTACCTGGCTTATGGATACTGAGATAAATGGCATTCAAAACAAGCAGTTTAGACTGCCACTATTGCTTAGTCCTTGTACAAAAAACAGTTTGCACTGAAATAAGTTTAACATCAAAGATCAGACAATTCCTATCTGATTCCAATTCCTGAAAATATTATTTTTACCTATTTCTAGCCCTCATTGCCCTTGCTCCCCTTCTTTTTTTGGTGCATGTTATGTTGGGTGCAATTAGGAAAGAATTGGTTTGTGAAGTGAATTCATCAAGTTATGCTTTGAACTATGGGTTTGATCAATTGTAATTTATAAGACAAACCCAACAATGCAGCTTATAATTTTGGAATGTCAAAAAATGTGAATTCATCAGTTATGCTTTGAACTATGAGTTTGATCAGTTGTCACTTATAAGACAAACCCAACAATGCAGCTTATAATTTTGGAATGTCAAAAAATGTGAATTCATCAGTTATGCTTTGAACTGTGAGTTTGATCAGTTGTCACTTATAAGACGAACCCAACAATGCAGCTTATATTTTTGGAATGTCAAAAAAGAAAGATGGGAGTTCGAAAAATGAAAAGCATAAAGATGCTCCGCCCCCTGCTACTAGTGCAAATGCACCAATAGTCAATTCTGTGGAGAAGCCAGAATATGCACCAGCAACCCCAACTGCAGAGCTTGCACTTCCTGCTCAAACAAGTGAACCGGCAGTTAATTTTTATGGGCAGCCAATCGCACCAGCAACCCCAGCAGAGGATGTACTTTCTTCTGATGCAAGTGTGGAGCCAGAATATCCACCTGTTACCCCGATTGCAGAGCTTGTGAAGGTGCATGAGCCAATTACTGAGGATCAGCAACGAGAGCTCTTCAAGTGGATACTGGATGAGAAAAGAAAGGTCAAACCCAGGAATAGAGATGAAAAGAAGCAAATAGATGAAGAAAAGGCCATTCTCAAGCAGTTTATACGAGCGAAATCAAACCCTTCCCTTTAGCCTCCTCCATAAGAGACGTCACATTCATCCTTTGAACCTGATTTTTTGGATCCTGCAACTTGTCTAACTTCAAGAGATAGTATCTCAGAGATGTGAGCCAGTTTTTTTGGGTGCTCCATTTAGTGTTTCGAGGGCTGTCTTAGGGGTAAATATACATGCAATTATGCCTACGCTTTTGAAAAAGGAATTAACTGCGCTTTAGATTTAGCGTTTTCTTACACTGAAAATCTGGTCATTTGTAAGATGGAAAAATGCCTCAACTGATGAAGCTCATGGAAAGAACGTTCTCTATTATGAAAGTTGTGTACAGCTCGGCTATAGGGCTTGTGATGAGTTTGATGATTATGAAGTTTTCTTCATAAAATATGTTCTACCTTTTGCTCTGAAAGTAGTGCTCTCCATGTTTGGTGACATTCATCAGATTCTCTTATTATTTTGTGAAATGCACCATTGCAGGTATCCTTCAAATCCTGAAGTATAACTTCACTTTAAGAGAAAGTGAGTTTAACTACCTGGCCAACCTGTCAACATTTAGCCATGTGACCTGAGCTTGATTTTGGCAGAATTCCCTTTACCCGCGGTCCAGATTGGTTCCTTCATCGTACCCTAAAACCCTAATTTGACATAAAACAGATTAACTTGTTGACATTTGAAGGAATGAAAATTCACCAAATGTCTTAAAGGTTTCAATTGACACTTGCATGTAAGGGTGTTCGCGGTGCGGTTTGGATCCTAAATCACACCGTGGTGCGGTTTATAAATTTTTCAAACCGCGTCGCAAAATGTGGTTTAACCATAGTTTTTTAAAATTATAATTATTCTTTTTAAAATAAAACTTTTATTTTATTTTGTAATATTAATTTATAATTCAAATATTAAACTCTTTTTTTAACCTTTAATTAACTAATAGTCAAAGATTAGCTCATATATATATATTAGTTCTTTTATATTTTTTTTTAATAAAAATGCAATATAAAAATCGCAAATCGCATTAAAGTGCGGTTTGGTCTAAATATTATTTGAAACCACACCAAGTAGCAAACTGCGATTTGGTCATTTTCAAAAACCGCACCGCAATTTTTAAACCACACCAAATCGCAAAATTGCGGTTTGGTGCAGTTAGACTGCACTCTGTACAACCCTACTTGTATGTGTTGTTTGAGAAGGTTACGTTTCAAGAAGCTTGCAAGCAAAAACAAACTGGTTTCAGAAATCTACAAGAAAACTTTTAACATAATTGTAATTACATATGAGTGTCTTAATTACATATGAATGTCTTGTATCGTTACTTACATGCAGTATGCTGTATGCAGCCCATACAGCTATAGAAGGGTTGTACATCTATGGTAATTTGTCGCCGTGGATGATTCTGCAGTGATAAATCTGATGATAGTCCATGACAGGCGCCCTTGGCTCAACCTCATTTCATGTGTATTATATGGAGATGGTTCTTGACCTGGAAAATATAGCTCATGCCCGGTTTTATTGAGCAATGCCTTGTCAACAATATTAGACGGACAAAAATTTGGACTTGGGTAATTTTTAGTCTTCACATTGGCTCCTCTGTTATCCTAGTTGTAGAAAGACCCATAGGAAAACGCTTTGGAAATAATAATAATTGAAAGATTTTAAACCACAGCTAGTTTTTGGGTCCAGGCGATGCCTCAGATTATTACATGAAACTGATCATTAATATACGTTGTAATTTATGATTCAATTTTCTTGTAATTAAATTTGTTCTTCATATTATTATTTGCTACATATTAATATTTTGTATTCAAAAGATTATATAAAAAAATCACATATCTTAGTGGTAAGAAACTTAGTTGTAGAATTTGTTCTTCATATTATTATTTGCTACATACATCCACAAAACTTTCCCATTCCACATATATTGCCATACTACATAAAATCCACCTTACTAAACCAACTTCCTTATTCATATTTTTCCTCCTTGTATAATTCCACTATTCTTTTTAATACTCCCTAGTGAGTTCTTTATTTGTGAGAGTTATATTGTAATATTTCTCACCCTAATAAATTAGGGTCTTTGTACTCTCATTTTAATATAGTGAATTTAATTTTTCAAGTGCTCGTTGAGTGTTATTTTCTAAATAGCTTTTTCTTGTCGTTTATACTTTGTCAATTTCTCAATTAATTACGTTTTCGCTAGCACTCTTACCCTAACAAGTGGTATCAGAGCTAAAGGTTTATAATGTCGAGCGTTACAAAGTTCGACATTGAGAAATTTGATGGCAAGATAAGTTTTAGTATATGGAAAATCCAAATGCAAGTCGTTCTTATTTAGAACGGATTAAAAAAGGCTCTAGATAAGAAGCCATCAACCATGTCTGATGAGCAATGGCAAGAGTTGGATGAAAAAGCCATGTCGGCAATCCAACTATGCTTAACCAAGGAAGTGTTACGTGAGGTGGTACACAAGAAGACTACAACTGGCCTATGGACGAAGCTCAAGTCTCTCTATATGACTAAAAGCCTTGCCAACAAACTTCGTCTCAAAGAGAGGCTTTATACAATTCGTATGGCTGAGGGTACGTCCATCCAATCTCACCTTAATGAATTCAATTCTATTACCACGGATCTTGAGAATTTGGATGTTAAAATTGATGATGAGGATAAGGTTGTATTATTAATTGTCCCATTACCTCTCCTTACAAACACTTCAAGGAAATTATGTTATATGGATCCAATGAAACTATTTCTTTTGAGGATGTAAAATCACACTTACTCTCAAAAGAAAAATTTGACCTTGAAGTGAATGATGAAGATAAAGGTGAAGGGCTTAATGTAAGAGGGAGATGTCATGAAAGAAGTAACACACACAAAAAGAAATTTCGATCTAAATCTAGGGGACGTAAACCTAATGTCACCTGTTGCTACTGTAAGAAACCGGGGCACGATGTTTTTGAATGCTTTAAATTGAAAAATAAAAAGGAAAAAGAAGAAAAATCTAAACAGCCTCAAAAACCCGCTCAAGCTAATTTCATTGAAACTGGCTCGGAAGGAGACTCAGTGTTACTTGTAACTTTTGAAAAGAAGGGTTTTAAAGAATGGATTCTTGATTCTAGGTCACCTATCATATGTGTCCTCATAGGGACTGGTTCACCACATATGAATCGTTAATTGTGGTACTGTCTTAATGGGAAACGTTGTTTCCTGTACGGCTATTGGCATAGGTTCAATCAAAATCAAGAGTCATGACGACATTGTCAGGACATTAACCAAGGTTCGTCATATTCCTGACTTAAAACGCAATCTGATCTCACTGGGTACTCTTGAGTCACTTGGATATAAATTCTCAGCTGAAGGTGGAGTTTTAAAGGTCACCAAAGGTTCCCTCGTTGTCATGAAAGCCACGAGAAGTGGCAGTTTGTATGTCTTACAGGGACATACAATGACAGGTTCTGATATGTTCATTTTATATAGTGATTTACCCCCGTCCATTGGTCATTTTTAGGAGTATTATTGGCTTTTTGGAGCCACTTTTATTACTAATATGCGTTTTCTAGTGTTTTCGTATTTTTGGTACTATTTTATAGGAAATTGCAAATTAGGAGCATTTTCCCGGACTTATGATACGCCACTACGACCATTGGAGAATTATGACCATATTTCATAACCCTGGACCGGTTGGTGTCGTCAAATCGGTGATTAAGGGCTCGACAAAGATGAGATCGAGGCAATGGACCAAGTATTCAAGACCCAAGAGGAAATTCGGAATTGGGCCGAGAGAAATAGCCCAAAAGTGAAAAGGTCCAGCTTGTCCGAGAGCTCGCCCAACCGGGCAAGCCCTCGCCCTGAGGCGCGCCCGGTCGGGCGAGGCATATAGAAGGAAAAGAGGCTTCGCCCTTACACGCGCCCGACCGGGCGCTAGTGAAGATTAAAGGCTAAAAAAGGCGGGCCCGGCCGGGCGAAGCTTCGCCCGACTGGGCGCGTGTTTCTAAGAAGAAGTTTTGACGATTTAATTTGTTTTATTTTTAATAGGATTTTGTGCTTAAGTAAAAATACGTTTTTAAGCTAGATACGATTACTACTTCTTTAGTTAGTTAATTTCCAGAATTCTGATTTTAAGCTTTAGTTAATACTCTCATTTTCTCTCTACACCTTAGACTTATGCAATTCATTATTTTCCGTTTACTTTGGTAACGATTTCTTCCCTCTTTATTTTCAATAATTTAATTTCTTTGATTTAATATGCTTTGTTTAATTGCTTTGATTAGTTTAGATCTAATTATGTGTGAGTAGTTTCATACTAGGGTTTATGGGGATCCATAAATAATATGAAGGGGTAATTTATTATGGTTGATTGTTAATGTTTCAAATTAATTTCCTATTGATTGGTTTACTGCTACGCAATTAGATTAGCGCTGGTTTAATTGTATGAGTTATGCAATATTAATTCGAGATTTGAGAGATGAGAATTGATGTTTAGGCTTAGTTTCAATAGGCAGGTTAATTTATATTGGTAAGTCAAGATTCGAGAGATGCGATTTAATACCGGTAGATTAATTCTGTGATTGTAATACGTAGCGAAAGCCCTTTATGATCTGATTAATTTATGCATTGGTAATTGATTGTTATGTTTATACCCTTGAATATTGTTTATTGGTGAACCTATACCCTAGGCCTTTTATCATTGATTTTCTCCCTTACTCAACTTGCTTTAGTTTAATTATTAGTTTTACTCTCATAACAATAATTCGGTTACTTAATAGTTTAGATTATATTAATTATTTAGGAATAGAAAGACTTGTTTCCCTGCCCCTACTTCCCTATCTACTTTAGCTAGAGGACTTAGGTAATTCTTTTGATTAGGTGATACGACTTTAGCCTGTTAAAATTTTGGCGCCGTTGCCGGGAAACGGTTTTATTTTTATTTCTGATTATTATTGTAGTCTAGATTATTTTTCTTTAGTCTCAGAGAACGCAAGTTCTTTGGGACAGTTCTCATACTTGTTCGTTTATTTCTGTGTTTATGTAGATCAGGTTACATCCCATTCGATCCTGAAATCGAAAGTTCTTTTCATAAGCAGAAGAATCTTTTTAGACAGGTACGAACTACTTCCGAGGGTACTA